GCAGAAGAGCTGTCACGGCGTGTGTTACCCTACCTTCTGACTTGTCATGGCTGTAATGTTCATTCAAACCTCTTTGCTCTCCAGAAAATACAGTGTGGCACAATAAAGGAAAGTTTGAGATATTTTTGAGATCTGTGTTGTTTTGGTGAATAAATTCTGACACTTGTCCCACAATTTAAGTTCGGGGAATTAGCTCCAAAAAGGAGGAGTGCGTTTTCCCTAGGGGCCCATTCATATACTGAACATCTTTGAAGACATTAGTGACTGCTTACTGATACATACTGATTAAAAACAAACAACTGGACAACAAGGATGATCAGAATCATATATACATATATTATATACACACACACAGTCACATTATACAAATGCATACATATTATACACACACCCACACGCGTGCGCACGCGCGCGCGCACACACACACTTCACAGTGCATGAGTGGATGTCAGAGGACAACCCTTGGGAGTTTGCTCTCTTCCTCCACTGTGTGAGCTCAGGTGTCAGGCTTGGCAGCAAGCACATTTACCTGCTGAGCCACCTCACAAGCCCCAGATTCTTTTGAAATTAGAGTCCTGGATATTGTTGTACATGACTTCCTTACTTTTCTACTCACAAGCCACAGGATACAATGCAATTGATAACTTTAAAAATTAATTTATTACATTTACAACAATCTGCCTCCATATACACCTGCACACCAGAAGAGGACACCAGATATCATTATAGGTGATCGTGAGCCACCATGTGGTTTCTGGGAATTGAACTCAGTTCCTCTGGAAGAGTGGCCAGTGCTTTTAACCTCTGAGCCATCTCTCCAGCACCAATTGATAACTTATAACTTAATATATATGGCCATGTAATACACACCTATTTTGTTGTTAAAAATGATGGGCTGGTAAGTCAAGATTCTGCAGTCTAGATTTTTATTACATTAAGATTATTTTTATTACATTTGTTTATTTGAGATAGGGCCTTACATGCGGTTTTTGTTGATGCTGTAGTTCAGGCCGGCCTGGGTCTCACCTGGCTCTGCTTCTTGAATGCTGGGATTAAAGACATGTGCTCTTCATCACACCCATTTCACGCACACACATCCAGATGCACACACACAGTGACACACATGTACAGATATAAAGACACACATGCACACACATACAGATGCACACACACAGACACACACAGATATACAGACACACATGCACATACATACAGATGCACACACACAGAGACACACACGTACAGATACACACAGACACACATGCACACACATACAGATGCACACACACAGCGACACACACATGTACAGATACACACAGACACACATGAACACACACAAAGACACACGAAGACATATACAGATACACACATAGAGATACAGACACACACACATACATACAAAGACACACACACAAAGACACATACACAGACACACACATACAAATACACATACATATGAAACACACACAGAAACAGACACACACGGACACATACATACATACATACATACATACATACATACATACATAGAGACACACAGAGAAAGAATGTGCAGTATGTATACTTGTGGAGGTCACAATCCAAGTGCAACTTGCAGGTGTCATTTCTTGACTTCAAGTGGTTCCCAGGGATTGAACTCAGATTATCAAGTTTGGCAGCAGGCACCTTTATCTGCCAATACTTCTACTGGCATTGGTTTTTACATTTTAAAACTGTTGTTAAGAATAAAATATGTGACAGAGATCACATCGCCCACAGAGCCCACGATATTGACTATCTGATACTTTACAGAAAACATGTGCTAGTCTTTGAGCCATGTGGAAAATATCAACAACAGAACTTATTTCATACTTTTACCAAGAAACGAATTGTGTTCTTTTCCTTTAAAGTACAGCCTTCCACTTGTAGACTCAGTGCTCACAGCCACCGTAACGAGACACTGCAAAATCCCCCATGTAGTCATAGATGGCTCTGTGATGCCAGCTGCTCCTCGGCTGTGGGGCAGCCCCTCTGTTGTTTGTGTGCTCACTGCCTTCCTGGACCTTTCCTTGGCTCCAGCTCCCAATCTGCCACATACCTTTTTTGACCTTGATATTTGGGCCAAATGACCGCACCACTCTAATTGTTCTATTCTGTCACCCTCCCCTTCTTTTCCACCTCCTTCCATCCTCTGGGGGCTTCTCCTGTGGTCCTTCTGGGTCACAAGCCTTCTAAATCTAACACTTTTATTCTTGACTTTCTAGTTCTTGTGTCATTCTAATTGTCCCACTGGCTTTAAAATCAGCAAGCCGACTATGGCGAAAGGAGGCCTCACTCAAGAAGTTTTCCTGTCCGGGCCAGCTGAACCATTTCTGCTAGTGCTTGATTGCCCAGTCTGGACGATGCTTGAAGACACCCTTTCTTGTGTTTGCCAGTGTCCATATTGCATGGTCTGATTTTCCCCACGGGTCCTCACAGCAATTGCTTCCCACGTCCGCCATCTGGCCAGCTCACACCAGTGGTCCATCGATGACCTCAGCAGCCAGTGCACCTTTGTTAGCAGAGCCAGGTTGGTCTCAATCTTTGGGGTTTTAACTTTCTGTCCTCCAGCCACACTTGCTGGGTCTCTCCTTTTACTATTCAAATACAGTTGTCTTTTGACATCTTCACGAGCTGTGGCAGGGGTGTGTGTGTTTGTGTGTGTGTGTGTGTGTGTGTGTGTGTGTGATGTTGGAATGGAACACTCAGAGCATCACACAAGTTAGGTCAGCACTACACCCCTAATACCTGTTTTTGGTGTGTTTTGATAGGGCAAGGCTGATTTACATATGCAGAGCAGGGAATCAAGGAAGTCACTAACACCATATGCCAAGAGGGTAAAAATGGGACTATTTAGGAGTAAACTCTGTTACAACAAAATGTCTTAAACTACCTAATGCGAATCATGGCAATCTAAGGAATTGGTCAACTGAAGAATATATGATCCTGTTAACCTTTGTTTAAATAGAGGTTAAAGAACAAATCTCAATAAATAAACTTCCTGGGTGGTTTACCCGTTTCTGGCCTCACTTGTTGGTACACTGTCTTGCCACCAACAGCATCTGTAAACATTACACTTCTATATATAAATGCTGTTTTTCATTACACAGCATAACTCAGCGTCCTTCTTTGTAAACATCCCCACTCCTCACTAGAAACCAAATGGAAGCTCATCCTGCCCCCCACATGTATAGGATGGTGGGCTCTAACTGGTAGTGATTGGTCAGCCCAGCTCAGTAGGTTTATTTAGAAGATAGACTGAGAGACTGTCACTCAATTGTGAGGAATGCCTTTGAAATAACTTGTGCTGAGACAGCTTTCTCCTTCATTTCCCTCTCCATTCAAAGTCCTTGTCTATCTTCTTTCTGGCTTCTAGTCTCCCAAACCCATTTCCAGGATGCATATTATACCAAACATAAGTTGGGACAACCTAGCCAGCATGCCCGTACCTTAAGCAAGACCTTTGCAGGAATACTGACTTTAAGGAACAGAGAGCTCACCCACTTAACTGCATCATGGTGCCAGCTAATCGATACTACCTTCTAGCTTACTCATTGACCATTTATTATACAAGAGACTTCCTTAGGCCTTAAATATCATGTTAGGACTTGGGTCTACATTGCTAATGAAAAGGAAAACTGTGGCTGCACTCATATGGTGTGTGTGAATGTGTATTTAATATTAATTACAAATTGATGTGGCCCATAAACACTCCTGTTCAAATTTAGAAAGAAAAGGCTAATATTAATATCTGATACCCCAACAGCTCTGCAGCCTAAGGTCTGTGTGCAGGTCTGTCCATTTTGTCTCTCTCCAGAAGTTTTTGTGGTGGAGGTGTGGTGGAGAAGGTGGCGAACAGTCTTGACAGGGTGATGGTGATGTAAGCCTCGCTTCCTCCTTTTTAACCTCAGAGTTCCTGAACTCTCTCTCCCCTACCCCTTTCCAAGTGGATATTCTTACCTCTATTTTAAATTCAGATAATGGAGTAAGACACCATTCTTATTATTCAAACCATCCTTGGGAGAGTGAATAAATTAATGCTGGTATTACTGGGGTATGGTGGTAGAAATATGCCTCAAATTCTAATTTGGAACCACCAGAATTAGTAGTGGCTGCTAGCCCACCCAAGCCAGGGAACTGACAGAAGTGAGAGAAAAATATCCATTTTCTCTGCTCAGGATAGGATTGGATCTCAAAAATAGAAATGTGTTCTCAGAAATGCCTGCCCACCCCCAAGGTTGGTTGACAAAACGATAGATCTCCCAAGATAGCTGCCACGATTGGTTTCTACTCTGTATTTCTTCTGTTCCAGAACACGACCCGTCACACTTTCTGAGCTTAGCTTTCCTCAAAGTCCCATGGGCACAAGCAGGGAGGACCCACGACCCTGCAAGGGGATTCCAGTGGCTCCATGCCCGCACACGCCAGCCTGCGGATGCCATAGTTCTTCCCACTGTCATCCCACAGCTATGAGGAGCACAGCTATTTTTACCTCCTCGGCTTCAGCCCTTTATAGTTCTTTTTGAAGGAAGGAAATAAATAAAGGTTTCAGAAGGAAAATGCGTGGTCTAAGTTTCCCCTGCGCTGGAGAGGTTGGTATAGAAGTGGGTGCCTAGACTGGGTCGCTTTCCTTAGCAAGTTGTTGCCAGATTAGGTCTGGGCCCAGGCCTGGAAACCCCGGGGCTTTTCTCTTAGGGCCCATCCCTTACTGAAGGTTTCTTTCTCCCCTACCCCCATTTTGGAGGTGCCACCATCTCTTTTGATGCTGCCTGGGTTGCTGCATCACTCTGCACCCCCCCCCCCCCCCCCACCTCCCCGGGGCTCCCACAGTAGGGCATGCGCAGTGAGGTCCATGCGGGCCACAGCATCAGCATCTGCAAAAGCATCAGCATCCGCACCCGAAACCCGGCTCGGGCGCGCTCCCGGAGGGTGGGGTGCAGTATCGCGCTGCGCGTCCCCGTATCTCGCGCCCGCGCAGCGCGTGCCCGCTCGGCTCGCTCCCGCGCGCCTCCTCAGCATCCTCAGGCCCGGCAGCAACGCCCGCAGTTACTGGAGCGGCCGCGCCCGCCACTGGGAGGGTGCAGCCGCTGGGGAGGCTCCAAGTTGGCTGAGCCGAGGGGGACCCCCCTCTGCGGACTGCTCCCTGAAAGGCGGAAAGAGCCGAGGAGGGCGCGCCGCGGTCCCCAAACCCCCAGCCCCTGACCCCTACCCGTGGCCGCAGCATGCGCGCCCAGCCGGCGTGACCGGCTCCGCCCGCAGTCACCCCGCAGCCCAGCCCGGCGCTCTCGCGGGTCACTCGGACCGGCGCCCGGGAGCGATGAGCCATGAAGCCGCCCGGTAGCAGCTCCCGGCGGCTTTCCCTGGCGGGCTGCAGCCTGGCCGGCACCTCCCGCGGCCCCTGTCGCTGCCCCGCCGGCCCGGTGCCGGCCCGCACCCTGGCCCGCGCTCCGCCCTGCCTCCTGCTCCTCGTCCTTCTCCTGGTGCCTGCGCTCGCCGCCTCGTCCCGGCCCCGCACCCGGGGGGCCGCTGCGCCCAGTGGTGGGTATGGCCGGTGCCCTTTGCGTTGCCTTCCCCCCCCCCCCGGGGCCCTGGGGAGGAGAGAGAAGGGCACGCAGGTGCGTGTGCCCTAGACCTGTGGGTCCCTAGCCTGGCCTTTGAGCGCCTCCCTGTTGACCTCTCCATCCTTCTCAGTCCCAAGCCCAGGTTCATGCTAGTTCACTTTTGGAAGTCCGTTTCTGTTGCATTCACTAAAGACCCATTCCAGTGACTTTGGGTTCCACCCAGAGGTATTTCTTGACTCCTGAGTCCTTTAGCGCTCTCTATGTAACTTCCAGGGGCAGGGAGATGCAGTGAGCGAGCAAGTTGCTTCTTGCTTTGGGGAACCTTCATATGAATGCAGGGAGCATGCGATAATAGTGGCAAATGCTTGTTTCCTCAAATTTCCCACTAGCTTTAGTCTCTGCTCTTAAGGTGAGGGAGGCGTACTTTGGGGACCAGAGAAATGAAAGTCTCCAAGACACATTTTGCCCATGACCTTTGGCTGTGTTTTCCCAAAATGCTTGTCATAATGAGCAATCAGAATGATACTGATGAGCACACTGGTGATTGGAAGTCACTGAAAGTGGAAAAGGGATTTGGAAAGCTGCCAGCATCTATAGTCCTTTATGGCAAAACAGTTTTTCCCCCTCGTCTCAAAGTTAAAAAGAAAAGGATATATATATATATATATATATATATATATATATATATATATATATATATGAAAGAATCACTTTACATTCAGTGCCCAAGAATTCAAGCCCCCAAGTTATGTCAGGAGTGTTCTTAGCTCCCAGATGAGATGCTGCTAAGCTTGGGACAGTTGAGCTGTTCTATCCTCTGAAGCGGGAGGGGGTGAGGGTCAGGACCCTTGAGCCTGTCCAGTTGCTGACTCTTCTCAAGGCCTATTCTGTCCCCGCCCCCTCGTAGTTAGATGTTCAGACTAGATAGGAAAGGTATACATGACTATAGTACATGATTGTATAAGCTTCCCTGGCTACTAGTCTATCCAGGCCATCCCACTGTCACAATCACTTGTTTTTCAAGGTGTCTCCACTTCCTGCCTCCTTGTAAATAGAAAACTTTGTTAATGTAATTAACTGAACGGTCCATTTTAGAATTTACAGATTTACTAGATGTGTATGTGTATGCTTGTGCATATTTGTGCTTCCTGCTCCCCCAGCTCCGTACTGGAATGAAACTGCAGAAAAAAGCCTGGGAATCCTGGAAGATGAAGACCATACATTGCAACAGAATAGCAGCAGTAACATCAACCACAGCAGTGCAATGCAGAAAGAAATCACACTGCCTTCAAGACTGGTATATTACATCAACCAGGACTCAGAAAGCCCTTATCATGTTCTTGACACAAAGGCCAGACACCAACAGAAACACAATAAGGTAGGCAGGAGGCTGAGTATGTCCAAGTTGCTGCCATGAAGAGTTCTTCCTTGATTTGACTTTCTGCCAGAATCTGATTTCACAAATTTTAGTGCAGCATTTTATTAAGAAAGCAATTAATATGATGATAGAAGAGAAACTAGAGGGAATTAACTTGGGATCGACCAGAACAGGGTTTACTGTTTGTTTCTTGGACTAAACAGAAATCAAGCAGTTTCAGATGTCCTGTGAGAAACTTGGTTCCTGTGTCTCCCAGGTGCCTTGGCACTGAACAGCAGAGTGAACTTGTTTCTGGGAGCCTTTATGTAAGGATGCAGGAATCTAATTTCCAGGAGGTAAAAGCTCTTGGCAGTCAGTTCACAGAAGGCTTTTTCCCAGCAGTCTTTCCATGGAGAACTTGCATTTGAGTTTATTTCTTTAACTGGGCATTGGGCAGGGGTTGGGGGGCATTGCTATGATAAGTTCAGTCGGTAAACAATTTGGTATTTCAAGATACTATGAAGAACAGAAAACAATGACTTGCATAAGATATAGTCCAGTCTGGGTTGACATCACCCTTGAAGACACTCCGCACCAATGGTGAACATTTGCTTTACTTTTAGGTTGGTTTAGAAAGTGGCGTTGTACTTCAGAAGGAGACTCAAGTGAAGGCAGAAGTATTTAATATTCCAAGAGCTTAAGGGACCCCTTCTCCTTCATCTTATTGCTTGAACTAATGATATCTTGGATCTGAAGTGGTTCTACACAGTGAAGTGACAGAGCCTCTGCTCTTTATTAGGTGTAGAAAACAGACCCCTTAGGTTACATATTTCCCTCTGAATTGTTCCTGTTCAGTTGGCAAGAGCAGGAGATAGTTAAGCATGTAGAATTCAGGCAAACTTTCTGTGGTTTGCATCAGTATGTAGTTAGTTTTCTGAAACAGAGGTAAGTACAATTATGTCTTTTCCCACTTCATAAATGGGTAAGTAGGATAGAAGGCCTTCCCGTGACTCTGCTTGAAGGTTGTAAAGCAGCTATTAGCTTTGAACTATTAATTGTTACTATTTTTAGAACAAGTGAGGCCCCTGAAACAAAGCTTTCTTCATACCGAATAACTTTGTTAACCCTGTTAGCCTTGTTTGTTTGATTTTTAAGGGGCTGTTGTCCGCCATGGCTGAGATGATGAAGTTCTCCTTTGCCAAGTCTTTTCCTCAGACGGTTCTCTATAATTTAGTGGAACAACTAACACTTTATGTCTTATGGATAGAAGGAGTGGATATTGTCTTTAGGAGGAGACATCCAAGGCTCCCCTTGATAGCAAGCATCGAGGCAAGGACTACATAACTTCCCTTATGAATGATCCCTATACTAAATGTGGGATGGTCTCTGCTCTGTGGTTATAGTTCTTAAACTCCAGGGCCTTTGTACGGGATGCTGGAGGAAGGTCAAAACTGCCCCAGAGCCTGCTTTAAAGAATGTCTAAGCACTCCTCAGCTGAGATCTGAAAGAAATTTCAGTGGAATTTCTTTTTTAACTCAGGTATTGAACTACCTGACTAATGGATTAGCCTTATTTGGCTGTTTTGCTTGTGTGTGTGATTTCACACCATATGTCTGACTTTACGATAGTAATATCTGTTGAACTTTTACATGTCGCTTATGTAGAGGGATGGAGTGCTCCAATGGAGCACTGGCTTAATGTTGTAGTGACTAAGCTTCTTGACACCTCCCCCTCCCCACAGCCAGACTTCTTTTCTACATTTGAAAAGAATGCTTAGGCAGAGTGATATTTGAAAATCCCCCCCTTTTAATTCAATAAATATCTGTTGTACATTTCTTATATGCAAAGCTATATGGTAAGAGTTCACAGATAAGAGATAAGGGTTGCAAAGATGAAAAAGTTATATTTATTCTCCAGGAGACAGACATGACATAAGCAAGATTCTGAGATGTGCTTGGGTCAGATTTTAATAGTGCTTATCTGATTTGGTGGCACTCTGAAATTTCCTTTTGTGGTCTATGGTTTCCTTTTCCCTTGTGTCTTTAAGCTTTTCTTGGACTGGTTGATAAGAAGTATTGTTAGGGTCCAAGAATTTGGGAATAATCCACCACAAAAGACTGGGTTTGAGCAAACAAATTTTTTTTAGAAAAAAATATCTAATATCAATGAGGTGGCACGGTTCAAGCTCCGAACTGCATCCCGAGGCAGGGGCAGCAGCCAATTCTAAAGGGGAAACCTATAGAGACAGCTCCAGAGCCCCATCCAGTCATGATGTAATACCAGAGAAGCAGTTGGGGACTTTATACAGTGACACATTTTCAGACAGTTAGGAAGTTCTGTAGTTTGGTAGTTTGGACCAGCTCTGGGCCAACCAATGAGATGCTTGTGTAAGGGGTTAGGGGACCTGAAGCCTAACCTCAGGAAATTGTGGGTAGCAGCTCAGGGCAGAATGGCAGACTGGGACAAAATGGAGTTTCTGCTGCTAACTAGGATGGAACAGTATTTCCTGTTTTCCCCTGAATCTTACAATGACTTGCTTAATATCAATGATGAGAGAGACACTCGTCAGCCCAGCTGCTTTCCAAAAGTTACAATGAGAAGGCATAGAATTCCATACTTACTGCTTTTTGAAAGCTAATTTTTGATTCTAATATCTGTGAACTTGGACCTTTCCTCCATTCTGGTTCTGTTGCACTGAAGCACATTTTAATGAATGCATCCGAAATGCTCAGAAATGCTGAGTCACCGTGCCTCTCTCCTGAATCCCCGATTGGGGGTAGAACGGCAGTGGGACTTTCCCAAATCTAGGTTGCAAGGCCAAGCAAGCTCCACATTTATGTCTGAAGTTTCGTAATCTTGCATGTGGATGTGTCCTTAGTAGCTGTGAAAGTTAAAATGCTTATTAACTCTTTCATAATTGGGGACTTTGAAAACTGGTTGTGTAGTCCACCTCTGTTTATGTTACTGGTTTTGAAAACTTTAGCTTTTTTTTTTTCCAATTTCACACAAATTAAGAGCATTTGGGAAGAGGAAATCTTATTTGAGAAAATGCCTCCATCAGATTGCCCATAAGCAATTCTTGTGGACGTTCTCTTGATTAACAATGTGGGAGGTCCCAACTTACTGGCAGCAGTGCCCCCCCCCCCCCCCAGGCAGATGGCCCTGGATTGTATAAGAAAGCAGGTCGAGCAAGCAGTAAGTAGCATCCTCCTTGGTCTGTACCTCAGTTCCCGCCTCCAGTTTCCTGCCCTGAGTTCTTCCTCTGCTTTCTCTCAGTGACGGCCAGCGATCTGGAGTGTGTTAGCCAAACAAACCCCTTACTTCCCAAGGTGCTTTGGTCACAGTGTTTTAGAAGACCAGTAGAAAGCAGCTAGAACAGGGACCATTTCAATTTCTACACAGTTGAAATGTTGTAGAATCAGTTGTCCAAATGGCTCCAAGTTTAAAGAGAGAAGTGAGCACACTTCTCACTATGCCAGGATATGGGACATAAACTAAGGCAGTCAGAGCAGCCCAGGAATGAACAGGCACCTCATACTTAAACGGGTTTTTCTGTTGGTGCTTTCCCAAATCAAGATTTCTTTATAGTTTGTTATCTGATCATTTATTATAACAATCTCCTTACTGCTTAAGAAGTCAGGTTAGTATTAGGAAAATTTTAATATTGTGTGATACTGGACACTACATACCTGGTGTCCATCCCATTTTCTTTCACATAGGTCCAGCCCTCTTGAAATGATCAGGTGATGAGAGGGATAATGCCGCAATGACCGGAGGCCAGGGCCCTCCAGGAAGCTTTAGTATGGGGGTCTAGTCGATATAAAGATGAAGGCGTGATTGCAGGGTTGTGGCTTTCAGCCTCACCCCTCAGGAAAGGGGCTTAACATTTAGTTGATCATCAGTGTCTAGTGACATGATCAACCATACTTATGAAATAAAGCTCCCCTGAAGATCCAAAGGGATCGGATTCTGGAAGCTTCCAGATAACTGAACTTGTGGAGGTTCCTAGAGGGGGCAGCACTAAGACAGGGCCTGGAAGCTCAACATCCTTTATCCCACACCCTGCCTTGGACATCTTTAACCCCTGGCTGCTTATCTGTCTCTTCTATAGTGTCCTTCACAGCAACTAGTAAATGTTTCCCGAGTTCAGTGAGCTGCTCTCGGCAAGTTAATCAACTCTGAGAAGGGAGTGACGAGACACCCGATTTATAGCCTGCTTCCATCAACATAGGCTCTAGCTTGGGGCTTGTGACTGACATCTGAAGTCTTGTGGGACTCAGCCTTCAACCTGTGGGATCAGACACTATCTCCAGATAGATAGTGTCAGAACGAAATTGAATTAGAGGACACCTGGCTTGTCCGTCATGAAGAATCCGCAAATTGCTTGGTGTGTGGGGAAGAAGCCCCAGACAACTGATGTCAACAGTGTTGTGTGAGGATGAAGATGGAACATGAGCTTTACATTTTCTTGTGTCTCTTTGTTATCAAGACTTGCCAGGTTTTACGAGTCTAGGTGGAATTATATGGTTATTACATGTATTACCGATGCAGTGTCCTACTAAAATGGACAATAGGTTTGAACAGCAGGAGAAACAATTTAGACTCATTTATTCTTCATTCAGTCACTCCTTTTTGAGATGATTCTGTGAAGTCTGTTCCTAAGAAACTTGATGAAAATTGGCCGTTTGCTTTGATCCCCCAAGATTAATTTCTTCTGATTGGGAAGGAATGAAAGAGGGTGCACGAGGCACAGTTTAGGGACATGGGAAGGTGACCCGGCTATCAATGGAGTCACTCAAACAAATGACCTCTTGCCATGGACTGACTTTTAGGTAAACAGGCTACTCCTACAATTCCAGACTGAGGAGAGGAAAGAGGCAGCTTAGTGGGTTCAATTTCTTTCTTTCTTTTTTGGTGCTAGGTGTTAAACCCAGAATATAATATGTGCTAAACATATATGTAACAGAGCTGCGTCTTGACTGTAAGTGAATTTGGAGCACAGGAATTATGCCTTTGAGTTA